ACCAAAAGGGTAAATAAGGGACAAAATGTATAATAGGTATTAGAAAATAGGAAGAAAATGTTCAAATGGAAAAGGGAATAAGGGAGGGGGGGAAGGAAGGAAGACAGGAAAAAGGAAAAAATTGAAACAAAGCTTTTTGTAAATGGAGGCTTGAAGGGAGAGGAAGAGAGGGGGTTGGGGACAATACACATTATGTACAGATACAAATTCCCTGTAATGAATGTATATCTAAAATGTAGCAATAAAATTAATCTTTTTAAAAAGCCTACTGATTAATCATTTCATTAAATCTTAATTTACATGTTAGATGTATTATTAAAGCCAATTTGAAAAATGGGTACATAAAACTCCAAGCTTCTCTGTCAAAGGAAATAAGACAAATATCTAGATGTTAAGTCAGTTTACCCCTATATAACAACACACACTATAAACCTAATGTTTTCTGTAGAACTATAGATGCCAAAACACACACACACTCTCAGAGTTATAACTGGAAAGACAGTTATAAATCTTTACTCCTTCACTGGCACCTTTTTATCCTCAACACAGGTCTTAGATAATGTTTGAACTTTTCAATAAAATGAAAAAATAAATAGTAAAGATTGTTTTCCAAAAAGTTCATTCATTCTCCCATTCATTCAAAAACAGGGTGCCTAACTATGTGTCTATACTTTGATATATGTGGACTCATTGGTATGTTAGAAAACCATGCTTCCTATGGCCAAATAATAACAAATAAAAGATAAAGTACAGATAATGCACACTTCTAAGGGATGAGGATGGGAAGAACAGAAATTAAGAGTTCTCTTTCAGACATGTTTAGATGTTCTTAACATGTAGACCATCAGTTAAAATTTCTAAGTGAGAACATCAGGCAGACAGTCAAACAGAAAATGTGAAGTTTCAGACAAAGAAACTGGGCTGGAGACAGTAATGTAGTGATTCAATATAAAAACTTGTTCTGGGACCAGCCAAATAGCTTAATGGATTAAAGCACCTGCAAGCAGGCACAGGGGCCGGGGTTCAATACCTGGGCCTGCCATGCCGGCCCCACCCACGAGGCACACTGAGACAGCAACTGAGACTGGGTGGGTGCCTGTAATTCTAGCTCTTGGGAGGCTGTAAACAAGAGGATCACTATGAGTCTGATCTAGTAGTGAGACCCTGAACACCGTGTAGACTCTTCCCCAAAACACCAAAAAATAAAAACTTGTTGAGAATATATCCTCTCTGCATTATTAAATAGTCAAGTATCCTTTATTCTAGAAGTTAGAAATCTGATTGTTTAATTCTAATAGCTTTTCAATTGTTATTTTAATTTTCTTTATTTTTAAACAGAATACAAAAAATAAAAAAAGAAACAAAACAAAATTTCACTAAACAAAATAATAGGAATACAACAATGGTTGTTATATTGCATATTGTTGTCTTCAAATTAGTTGTTCAAATTACCATATATGAGCCTATAAAGTTGGTAAAAAAAAATTAAAGAGTGAAAAAAATTTAAGCATTAATTGCTCCTTTCAATAGACCAGCAGAAACCAGCAGTACAATTATCCAAGCCATCCTATGAAGATTTTAGTTTTTCAATATAAATATGAACAATTCAGCCGTGCATGGTGGTACACACTGAGATAGAAGAATTATTGCAAGTTCAAGGCCAGCCTAGACTACCTACTGAGTTCAAGACCAGCCTGAACTACATGATGAGACCTTGTTTCAAAGCACCAAATAAGGAAAGAAAATAAAGATACAATCTGAAAGTGTGGAAGCCACAGAGATTCAGGAATGATACCTGGAAACCATACATATCCCAGAAGCTACAAGAAGCGATAGCTCCTTTTTCATATCCAGTATAACTTTATGTCTTGCTTTCCTTCCAACTCCCACTTCTTCAGCAATCACCCAAAAATTGTCTCGTTTTAAAGAAATACTACTCCTCTGCCACAATTATATTTTTGTGTGTCTTTCACTTTCATAAAGGTAATTTTTATACCCCCTTGATATGATTACTGCCATTTTGCCTACCAGGTAACTCTAGCAAGGGCCCTGTGTTCAGTTACTAAGATCTACCAAAGTCTTTTAAGGTACTAAGCGGAACATATCCTCCAGTCAACCATGGCCCACCTTTATCTAGCTTAGCAAATAAATCCTTTCCTCCTGTCTTGGGGTACAGGGAGCCTCCTTCTTGTTGTTGCCTAAGATAATACGTGTGTGTCTAATAAACTGCACTTTGTCCAAATCTAGATATGTCCTTTTCTTCAGCTTTTCAGTACTTTATGCCGTTAGCAGCTATTTCTCACATATTGGGTCTGCATTTTTCTGAAACACCTGCCACTACTATTCTTTACTCTTTCCCTAATCTTAGAGCTATCCAATAATGTAAAATTTACAAATGATAATATCAGATGTGTGACAGCAAAGGAAACAGCTATCCTAGAGGAAAATCTCACTCCACAAGGAGGGGAAGGGAAATGGAAGACCATGAGGTAACAACCCTATGATGTCAATCTGGGATGTGAAAGATTATCTTAACATCAGTGAGGAGACATTGACGTATTTGACAGAGGTAGGAGCTGGGTGTATTAGTCACACACAAATAACCCACTCTGGGAGACTCAGGAAGAAGAATGATGAGTTTCAGCCAGCCTAGGCAACTCACTAATTTAGCAGGACCCTATCTAAAAATATTAATTAATTAATTAATATTAAAGGGGGCTGGGAATGTAGGTCAGAACAAGGGCCCTGTGTTCAGTTACTAAGAAAACAACAAAATGAATTAGAAATAGGCACATTCTGGAAAGTAACATGGAGAATGGATTACAAATTAGTAAAATGAGATCAGCTAAGATGCTGCTGTAGTAGTAATTTAAGGTATTAAGAGGATACTCTCTGACACATAGAGCTGTCCACTAAAAAACTGTGTATCACTTCACAGACTACTTAAGGAAATACACTGTTTTCCTACTACCTATCACACATAAGTGCCTTCTAATCTAACCATACTCTACATCATTATTTTTTACTACTCTCAAAAGGAATTATACTCTGATCTAGTCAGGCTGGAAAACCTACTATGCTTCACTCAACCTAAAATCTACCCTCTGCCAAATCCTTCATTCTATACAGTACTTTCCATCTGAAAAGCTTTCTCTCTTCAAGTCTCACTCTAGATTAACCAAA